TTTATTTATTTAAATTTACATTTTGTTTATTTAAATTATTTCTTTACTGTGTGTGTTCATGCATGTAGCATGAACTTAAGGGAGTTGGTATCAGTTCTCTCCTTCCACCATGTTGATCCTAGGGATCAAACGCAGGTAGGCAGGTGTGGTGGCAAGTACTTTGCCTGCTGAGCTATCCTACCTGCCCTGGATGGGAGTCTTGAAGGTGCCCCAGCTTGGCCCTTTGGAGATATAACATCTGTCTGTTCCTCTTCCACCCTGAGGGTGAGTTTGTGGCTGTCTTCAGCCCTCTGTTTCTCGTCCGTGGATACCTTTGGTTTTGAGCCTTCTGGTCCACCTTGAAAGAGTCTTTTTTTTTTAATTTTATTATTTTTATTGTATGTGTATGCATGTACTGCCTGCATGTAGGTAAGTGCACCCGTGTTGTGCAATGCCCGTGGAGGTCAGAAGAGGCTGTTGGATCCCCTGGGACTGGAGTTACAGACAGTTGTTAGCTGCCATGTGGGTGCTAGGATTCGAACCCAGGTCTTCTGCAAGAACAATCAGTGTTCTTAACTGCTGAGCCATCTCTCCAGCCCCTGAAATATTCTTTTGCTGTTGTTTCTGTCAGGAGCTCCTGAGGGTGCTTACACCACCATCTTGACAGGAAGCCTACATGGCATCTTGTCTCCTTTCTGAAGCCCGCGTCGGGGCAGGCTACTGCAGCTCAGGCCTGTGTCAGGATGGCATGGCATGTGAGGCTCTTCTGTCTCCACTGCTGCTTCCCAGCTCTCCTTCTCCACACTGGCATGACTGTCCACCTCAGCGTCCACGATAGTACTGTTTCATCCCCTCCCTTGCTTAGCCCCGCCCTTGACTTTGGGGATCTTTTTCTGTCTTTCTCGCTGCACCCTCAGTCTGGACTCTGGAATAGTTACTCTGCAGATGTCCCACACTTCCACATTGCCTGTGTTTCCCTTTTTACCTTGTGGGTTAGTGATTTGTGTACATACCCTCTTCTAACACCAGGTTAAGCCTTTACTGGTGCCCTCTACAGTGCCCAGCACACAAAAGAATCTTCCAAGGTGTGCTACACTAGCACCATCCCAGGTGATTTACATGTTGGTTTTATTTGGAGTCCCTGAAAAACAGCCCGAGACACAAACTTATGTATGTGTGATATTTGGAATGTGGCACCAGGTAGCAGGAAACCAAGCCAGTGAAGATGGGATTCGTGGTCTTGGCAGACAGGCTTTCTCTGAGGGTCAGCATAACTTGTGCTTGTGTTGTCCCTCTCAAGAATGGAGGTAGGGACATTCATCCCACAGTCCCTACCCCACTGACTGAGGGTTTTCTAGAGCTCTCGTCTGTCCCACTGTTCACCCTGTCTTACTGGCTGGCTCAGCCTTGGAAAGAGCCCCAAGGCAACTGAGAAGCAGAGGGTGCCTGAGGTGGGACTCACTCCATTTACAGGAGCTGTCCACAGCTGCAGCTACTATCAGAGGCGGGCCAAGGGCATGTGGCAAGGGATAGCAAGACATCTGTCACCCAGGTGCTGCCTCTTTAATTCTCATAGCTGGCTTGTGGAAGGTGATTTTCCTTCTTGTCAGAGAATCACAGTTTGAAGCCATTTTATTTTATTTTATTTTATTTTATTTTATTTTATTTTATTTTATTATTTATTCATTCATTTATTTTACTTGTGGTCTTGGGGAGCAAACTGAAGGCTTTGCACATGTTAAGCAAACATTCTTCTGAGCAGCACCCTCAGCCCCTGAAGCTTTTCATATTTGCCTTCAAAGTCAGTACACTATATATGCATGCCTGTTAATGAAGGAAGCATCCTTTCATTAATATCTGTTTATTGAGCACTTGTTAGTGAGATGGATCAGGTCACCCATGGACCAGCTAGGTTGGCACAATTCATCCAAAGCTACGCTTGCTCCCTGTATGTAGGAAAGGGGCCAGGGTTATGGAGTAGGGGTGCCCTATAATTGCCACTGGTATTTTATGATCCCCTTTGCTGCTTCCTATGCCAGCCCACATTCCCATATCCAGGTGGTACACTTACTAGCTGTGTACCTACATCACATTATCCATGAAATAGTCATGGTAGTACCTGCCTTGTTTGGGTATTGTGCAGTTACATCAGGTCAAATGTTTGTCATGATTCCTGGCATATTCAGGGACTCACTATGTGTAGTTCAGACAGCATCAGGGCAGGACTGTGGGGAAAGTTGGGAAGCTCTGGGAGATAAGGCTGCAACAGGAGGCTGATCTTCCCACTTTCTTCTTTGGAGAATCAGACCAGACCTTCTACAAGCACTAGGTGAGCTCCTTTTGGATCGAATCCACTTGGCAGAGCAGGGGCTTGCTGGAGATCACCTCAATAGTGAAGCCGAGAAGATCCTTAAGCAGGTGGCAGTTCAGCTGAGAGGCGAACTTGGCCATTCCTTCCCAGCCGACTCATTCTCCAAGTCACATGATGAACTCAAGTCAACTTGGGGGACCTGGATGACAAAGTCAGGTGGTGATACCCAGGTGGAGCTGAAGAATGCCTCAGTGCAGACCGTCACCACAGAAGATGACCCCCAAGGATTCAGATCTGAAGGGAAGAGAGAGTCTTGGGAAGAGAAGCCGGAGGACTTGTGTCACATGTCAGGGCTGCAGGCCAGTTTCCTCTCAGTCAACAGTGCCATCAACAAGGTAAGGTTTTCTATATGGAGTTATATATTTATACAAACAAAGTTTTGTGTATCTTTTATTGAATTTTTATGTATTTCATACAGAATATATTATCTTTATACACTCTTTCCCATTGGCCCCCTCCCATAGCCCCCCCACTGTAATTCATACATTCTGTCTTTTGTGTAAAGGCCTACTGAGTCAAGTTAGTGTTCCCAGACGTCCCTCAGTGCAAGTTTATCCAGTGGGGACTAGTCAGCCTATCTAAAGTCACTTCCTTTAAGAAGATCAGCTCTTCCTCATCTAGCAGTAATCAGCTGTCAATAGTTCTTCAGCTAAGATTGGGGCCTGCTGCACATTTCCACACTTCTATGGGTTTTTGTCTGCTTGAGTTTGCATGGGTCTTGTGCATTGCTGTAGGTTCCTATGAGTAAGATCCCAGGTGCTTGTAAAAGTCTATTTCCGTATGGTCGTGCATCTCCTCCCCTGACTTCTTTCAGTCTTTCTGCCGCCTCTTCTGAAGTGCTCCCTGAACCTTGGGTAGGTGAAGTTTAATATAGGAGTCCTGTCCAAGAACCCACAGTCTGCAGACTCTTATTCTCTATGCTTTGGCCATTTGTGTCCTTTTGTGTTCATGGCCCTGTGTTACATGAGGGAGCTTCACTGATGAGAGTTGAGAGATGCAAACAAAAAATTTTTTTATTTATTTTTATTTTATGTGTATGAATGTTATGCCTGCATGTGTGTAAGTGTACCCGTGTCATGCAGTGCAACTAGAAGCTCTTTCTTTCTTTCTTTCTTTCTTTCTTTCTTTCTTTCTTTCTTTCTTTCTAATATTTATTATTTTTATTTTATGTGTCTGAATATAATGCCTGCATGTATGTAAGTGCAATGAAGAGGGCGTTGGATCCTGGAACTGGAGTTATGGATGGTTGTTGGTGGCCATGTGGATACTGGGTTTTGAACCCAGGTCTTCTGCAAGAATAGCCAGTGCTCTTAACTGCTGAGCCATCTCTCTAGCCCCCCAACATACTCTACTTCTGTGAAGAGAAAGTCTGGTGCTCCCTCTTCCTGAGGTGTACCTGGCTGTACCTGGCAGCCCCTCCCCCTCTCTCCCCTACTCTTCCTGTTCTCCTACTTTTTACTCTGACCCCAGCCCTATCTCATTTACCAGGACACTTTCATGTTTTCCTTAGGAAAGGCACACATGGACGAACAGGATGTTTGTCCATCTTCCTGAAGCATTCTCTTTCACAGTATGAACCAGGGACATGTTTCCTCATAATGACTACATAAGATTCCATTATGCCAAAATTCATACAGTTCTCATCTACTGACCAGTGTTTTCTTTTGCATGTTGCAACGAAATTGTAACAACCTGACTTTAGAGTAGGAATGAGAGCCTCGCTTCTGATTTATGAGGACTTTGTGTGGGAGACACATTGTTCTGAGGACTTTATCTCTATTAGAAGCCAGATCCTGAGTGGCCATGGCTAGGTAGCCTAGTTAAGGGACAGGCTGGGGCACTCACTCTGTCTGCTGTATGACCATACTGGCTCCCCCTGGTCAGGCTACTCTTCAGTCACAGTGGCCTGAAAGGGGTCTGGTTTTACTGAGTGAGTGTCTACATGTTGATTTCCTGTCAGTCCAGGTTCTCTCTCTGAGCTTTTCTGCAAACAATCACATAGGCCAGATGATTAAGAACCAGCCTTTCTTGGTGGTGCTTGATTGGAACTATATTACAGCCCTTTGGGAGAAGGGGTTGGGGTTGAGAATCTCTGTAGCAAAGAGACATGTTCTGGTGGAGAAGTAAATAGGTCACGATTCTAATAGCTTCAGCGAAGGCTGTGGGATTCTTGTTTCTGGTGGCTGTTTTGTAGCTGAGAAATCAGCTACACACACTACATCGTGGCATCAGAATGGAGAATTAAGTTTATTTTCTGACCACTAAATTACTGCTTTTGTGCATACCAAAGAGAGTTAGATATATCATTAGCAAAATTGCTTTTGATTGTTTTAAATTATGCACCAAAACTGTAATTTCTAGAAAAGGGTTTTCTAAAGATATCAGTAGAGATCAAAACAAAAAAAAATATACTGCCATTACATTAATGGCACTCAAAAATGCAAATTTGTGCAATTTGGTTAGAATAGAGGCACTCTCCTCTGCCCCAGCTCCTTCAGCTTGTACCCGTGTATCAGGAAAACTTGGCAGGTTTTTTTCTTTGTTTTTTGTTTGCTTTTTTCTGTTGTGTAGGAGATGTCAGCCTGTGTTCAGGAAAATTGGATAATTGAATGGGCTTAATTTCTCCAAATATATTAATTTTTTTCAGTTTGAAATTATCCTTCTTGCTGTGTTTTCAGGAGGAAAACCGTGCTTACTGGTTTATTTTTATCATCTGCTATATATACCAGAGAGTGTGCTAAGTTCTCTGTATCATTTTACTTAATCTTTTCAACAAATATGTGAGGTTGGTAAGTACTGTATTCATTGTACGTAAGAAGAAACACAGGTACCGAAGGCTTAGAAAGTTGTCCCAATGCTCAGCTGGGAAGTGGTCAGAGGAGAGACGTTTGCCTAGTTTCAGAGGCAGATACATTAGGAAGAGCCTCCGTATCCCTTGCAGCTGTCAGTGTCTGCACAGGCAAGAGAGAGAGCAATGATTTCCTTTGTGGTTTTAGTAGTAGCAGAATTGGTAATACAGTAGCTTAAGCCATTTTGTTCTGTAAAAAGAATATCACTGTAACCTAAATTCGAGACAGAGACTGGTTGTGCAGTTACGGAAGCAAGAGATGCACCTTGCAGACATACCTGGGTTTGCATTTGACCTTGCTGCCCTCTGACCTCTCTTGATGGCTTGAATTAGGGAGTCAGTGTGACCCAGACCTCCAGCCTACATAGAGGCACAGTGAGGTAATATTGTCAAGTGCCTAGGGCAGTTTGTGTATGTGGTGGTAACTTAGAGCATGTGAGTTCCTGTCCCCCTTCCATTTCCAAGTAAGAAGCTCCAGTATGCCATCATTAGTGCGGTGGTAGGTGAGACTGCTTGGAGTCCAGAAGGCAGTGTTTTGTGTGGTGTTATTTCAGAATCGCGTTAGGCTGACTGACGGCAATCTTCCAGCTTCAAATTGGCTTTGGCATTTGTGCACTTGCAGATCTCTTCTTTGCTGCCATATGACACACAGATTTGGATCCAAGAATAAAGACCGATGGAGACTCAGGACCAAGCAAATGACTATTGCTTTCCAGCCCCCTTTGCTGAGGCATCTACCTCCTTCTAAGTGGTCCCTCTCCCTCCCTCAGACTGGCCTTGTCCTCGACCTGCTCTTCCCTCTTCCTTGGAATTCCAGGGCAAAAAGCATGCATCTTTTTCTAACTGAACCTTGCATTCTGAAGAGCTTGTTTGACCCTGACCCTTGAACCTTCTTGCCTTGTGACATTGGACTAGCTGTCTGACATCTTGGTTTGTTGAGAACAAGTGTGATAAACCTTCTATCATTACATGAGCTATGAGAAGACAATGTATCTGAGGAGCACGAGAGAAACTTCTAGCTGGGCAAGAAGCCCTCACTGAGCTTTCCTTCTAAGAGACTTTCCCTATCTCCTTCCTTAGATCCCAAGCAATTGCTTTTCTATTGCTATTTTTAAAATTCAGTAACAACTTTATTGAGAGTTGGTTCATGTATCTTATAGTTTATTTTAATTGTACAGTTCAGTGATTTTTAAGTATAGTTATGGAGTTGTATAGTCATTGCAAATCAGTGGTAGGGCATCTCTATCACCTCCCACTAAAGAAACCTGTGCTCATTAGCAGTGAAACTAGTTTCCCCATTGTGCTTCCCAGTGCTAAGCAGCCACCAGTCTACCTTCCTATTCAAGAGTTACCTGTCCTGGGTGTTTCGTATACATCACACTTTGTGACTAGCTTTCCCACTTAATGTTTACAGAACTGATTCATGTTGGAGCATGAATTCCTACTTGCTTCCTTTATTTTTATTGCTGCATAGTATTCTAAGGTGTGACTAATCCACTTTTTCTTTATTCAGTCATCAGTTGATACACATTTGAACAATTTCCACCTTTGGAATACTAGGAATTATGTTGCTATTCATGTACAGATGTTTTTGTGGACACTGTTTTCCCTTCTCTTGAGTAGATACACAGGAGTCAAGTTGATGGGTCCTAGGGTTACCCCATGTTTAGCCATTTTGAGGAACTTCAGACTGTGTTTTACTCTCAGTGGTGTATGAGGTTCCAGTTCCTCCATGTCCTCACCAGCACTTGTTGTTGTCTTTTTCACCACAGCTGTCCTAATGGAAATACAGTGATGGTGTTTTATTGAGGTTTCAGATCATTTTCCTGATGACTAGTGATGCTGAGCATCTTTTCATGTGCTTATTAGCCATATGCTGCCTCCTCAGGGAAATGTCTGCCTGGTATTTCCCCCACCTTTTAATTGGACCATTTGGGGTTTTTAGTATTGAGTTATAATACTTTATGTATTCTAGATCCCAGTCCCTCTCATTTTTTTTTTTAGTATGTTTAAAAATTCCCCACTTGAAAGACACCCTCACCTGGCCTCTTAAGTTATTATTTACATACTCGTTCCACAGATAGCTTTAGAGTGTCTACTGTATACCAGTTCTTATGCTAGAAGCTATGGATGGAGTGTGACAGAGATCTGCAGAGCCCACAAACCCTGGGCCTTAAGGCAGATGCAGTCAATGAATGTGGATTTACCCAGACAGTACAATGATGCTAATGTTCTCTGGGGAAAGTGGCAGAGAACAGTAAGTGTGTAACAGGGAGCCTTGACTTGGTCTTAGCTAGCAAGGCTGGTTCTCTTGAGGAAGGCACATTTTGAACTGCCCTGATAAATAACTTAGTAGGGAAGTGGAGGTGGGCAAGAATGAGTGTTTTAGACAAAGCATATGCCAAAGCCCTGAGCTGCAAGGAACATAGGATTTTGAGGAACCCACAGAAGGCCAGTATGGCTGGAAAATAGGGTAAAGTGGGAAGGGGCAGTGACTTCAGCTGTGGGTCATGCAGCGCTTTGTAGTTACAGTGTGGACATTGGCCTTTGAGAACTGGGAAGCAGTCACAGTAGTTTTAAACAAAGGGGAGTAGTTGGAGTGTCTTTTTGGTACAGCACAGAGTAGATTAGGGAGTGAAATTGATTGACAGCACCCCAGAGGCTGCTGCTGTGGCTTAGGTGCCAGCTAGTAGTGCCTGCTCTGGGGCTGCCAGCAAGGGGGAGGAGGGTGCAAAGAATTAAGACAGCTTAGGACTTGGACTCACTGGAACCTGCTGAGCAGGGAAGTGAATGATGAGAATGAGAAGGTGTCAAACGAGTCTCAGGTTTTTGGCTTGTGCAGTAGGTGGGTGAGCGTGTGATGGCTGAAGCGGTGTATCCCTGATGGTGGGGATGTGGCAGGATGGATAGAATCCATGTGCCTGTAAGTCCCTGACAGATGCAAGTTTCTAGGACAGGCCAGCTGGGAGCTCTGAGCTTGAGAAATATATTGGGTTATGACCCAGTCAGTAGCCATTTAAGTGTGAGACAGGTTGACTTACATTAGTAGTGGTGGGAAATGAGGAGATAGATTAAAACAAAAAACCAAAAACATCTCCCAGAAGGTTGTGTTGGGGATAGAATGGCCATGTATGAAACTCCTGGACTGTCCAAAGAGACATTGGGCCAGGGCCAGTGGGGTCAAGAAGCTGGGCCCTTGACTGTCAGGGGGATATGCAAAGATGCATGCTCTTCTCTGCGGATGAACAGAGATGCTGTTTTAGGAGCCGGAAGTCTGGGCGAGCAGTTTATACCCATTTCAGTAGCATGAGAATGTTGCCTGTGAAGCAAAAGGAAGCGCGTTTGAGTCCTGTTCACTGCTGTACCTGTCTATTTCCAGGATGCTAAGAAGTTCCATTTGCCGATCCTACTAAGAACATCCCAGTCATTGGGAAATATATATGATCTTCCTGCCTCCCAGGAGGAGGTAGCTCAGCTCCAGGCCCAGATTCTAGAGCTGCAGGGGGAGCTGAAGGAGTTTAAAACACACAACAAAGAACTTCACTGCAGGTTAATTCCGGCAGAGGCAATGATGAAGGGGATGCCAGTTCCTGACCCTGCTCTGCCAAATGGTAAGCACCAGGAAATGTGTTCTCCACAAGCCAGACAAGTGGCCTACACAACTGTGTAAAATGCCCTTCCCGTTGCTCACAAGTGCAGTGTGATTGTCTATAAACTCCTGAATCACTGTAGAAGAGTACAATGTACAATGCATAAAATGAATCTTCTCTTGGTTTCTTTTTATTCTGGAGTCTGGATAAATGGGATTTGTAGTGCTCTCAGGTCTGGGGGCCTCTGCTGCCTCTCCTTGGAATTATGTGTGGGTGCCCAGGGTTGAATCTGGGTTCTGGGCCTGCTCCTCCAGGGTCTTTTGAAGTCTCAGTAGGTGGTTATATGTCGGTGACAGTCCATTTTGTAGAGTTCTTTGGCCAACTTGGAGTTGATCTTAAATGCTGCTGACTTTGTTTTCTGCAAGTGACCTACCTCTCCACCCGTGGCTATCCTTGCCTGTCCTGGGAATCACGGGTTAAAACACACCTAAGTAGTGAGAACCCAGAGACTTGGATGAAGCACCCAGGTGGTATCTCTGGGTCCAGAACAGTAGTGCTTCCAGTTGCAGACTACCAGCTCTGAGAATCTGAAGTGTACTCAGAACTCTTGTAGACACTGCAGGTCAGTACGTAAGCAGCATCAATACCTTTCCCAAGGGTTCACAAACCCACAGAAGTGCCCATGTTGACATTTAATTTTGATCTCTTTTGACTGTAAGCCAGTGACAGCCACATGACAGTGACAGTCTCCACAGTAGGAACCTTTACTGAATTCTGTGTACCAAAGCTCTGTTTTAGGGACTGTGGAGAATAGGGGCCCCAAACAGAAGAAGTCTATTTCCAGCTTATGTTCTGTGTGTGTGTGTGTACGTGTGTGTATGTGTGTAAATGTGTGTGTGTGTGTGTGTGTGTGTGTAGACAATAAACTGGTAAATGTGTATATAATACCTGAGAAAAGTGATGAGTAGAAAAGTAAAGTGCAGGGTGAGGGCTGGGGAGTGAGAACTGAACAGGATGCTCATGGCTGATGCTCATGCATGACAGAGAGAGCTCTGAGACAAGGTGGACTTTGTGTGGAAGCTGGGGTAGTAAGCACACCGCTCATCTGGGGAGAAGGAACAGGGGCCAAGGCCTGGGATTGCTTTCAGCTTGAGAACTTTGATGTATAGTAAGGAGGCCAACCATCTGGTATGTGCAGAGTGAGACACGTGGAAGACGAGGTTAAGGAGCAGCAGATGAGGTGGTTCCCATAGACCATTCTAGGACTTCGTCTTCATAAGATTAGAAACTTGGAGGGTTTGCTCTGACTTACACTTTAAAGCAGGAGTTGATGAACTTCAGAGTTTTTGTAAATAAGTTTTATTGGTACTCGGCTGCTCCATTCATTGGTATGTCATCTGTACTGTTTTTTATTATAAAGTGGGGATAAACAGATACAGTAGAGACCCTATGGCCTGCAAAGCCTTAGAATGTATTGTTTGGCTCTTTGAGGAAAGTAGGCCAACTTGTGCTTTGAGGCATCCCTTCCAATGTACCACACCATTCCACCATTCCATAGTATTTCAGAAGTGATGTGGTTGCCTTGTACCATGATGGGAAAGACCACAGGAGAGGCAGGCTTTTGATACTAGGTGTCTGGTTTTGTACTTGTTGAGCTGCCTGTTGAGCACCCTCATGGACATTTCAGGTAGACAGTTCAAGACAGGTGAGTTTGGAGCCTAGGAGAGGGGAATAAACTTGAAAGAGAAACTCAGAAAATAGCAACATATATTAGTATTTGAAACTGCAGCTCAGAACCGTAGTGATGAGACTCTGCGGCTCTAGAGGTTAGAGGTTTGACTAAGAAGGAACACCAAGGGTGATATCTTGACATCTCAGAAGCTGAGTAGGAATGAGAGTGGGCTCAGATCTAATGGTAAGATGAGGATCAAGGCTTTCCCTTAATGAGGCCTTTAAGAGGAGAAGCTTCTGGGGCTGGAGAGATGGCTCAGTGGTTAACAGCACTGGCAGAGGACCCGGATTCGATTCCCAGCACCCACATAGTGGCTAACAACTATCTGTAACTCCAGCTCCAGGTGATCTGATGCCCTCTTCTGACCTCCGCAGGCATTGTATAACATGGGTGCACTTGCATATCTGCAGGCAATACACTCAGATATACATAAAATAAAAATAATAAATATATGGTGGATGTGGTGGTATACGCCTTTAATCCCAGCACTCGGGAGGCAGAGGCAGGCAGATCTCTGTGAGTTCAAGGCCAGCCTGGCCTACATAGTGAGTTCCAGGACATCTAGGGCTACAGGGAGGCCCTGTCTCAAAAAGACTTTTATATATATATATATATATTAAAAAGAGAGAGGCCTTCTAGCTGGGTATAATGGCACATACCTGTGATCACAGCACTCAGGAGGCAGAGACAAGTAGATTCTGTGAGATTGAGGCCAGCCTGGTTTACATAGTGAGTTCCAGGCCAGCTGAGGCTATGGAGACACCTTATTGAGAGAGAAAGAGAGAGAGTGCTTCTGTGAGAGGGGCCTGATTGGCATGGGTTCCAGAGAGAGAGCCTGGAGGAGAGAAGTTGGAAACAGTTGGATAGACACCTATGAGGAATTATACTGTTGAGAGATGTGGAGAAGCAGGACCACTGGGTTCACATTATCAGTGAGTGTACAGGGATCCAAGTGATCCAGCAAGGATGATCGCAGAATAATCAGCAGCAGAGTGACACACTTGGAATCTCCTGGGGGGAGTGACACACTTGGAATCTCTGGGGGGGTGGAATGGTGTGGACATGGCAGTCAGGAGCACAGGCTCTTATAGACCTCCAGGCCTGTGACACAGGTGAGGGAATAGGAGTGTCCTCAGGGAAGCCGTGGTTCCCTTAGAACAAGGACTATATACGAATGTTCAGTGAGGTTGGCTGTTTCTGCAGCTTGCCAGTGAAAGGTTCAAGTACTGGATAGGAAAATTGTGTTAGATTAGAGGATTTCTAGAGTGGGCCAGGCGTTAGAGGTGATTGGAGCACTAGGCTTCCTGTGGTTTTAATAAGACCAGCACCTGTTATTTGTTGAAACCCACCATACATAGGAAGTACACACTCTAATTGGATCTAACCCACCGTCTACTGAGGCTGTTCCAGTCATCGTCTCCATCTTATGCTCAGGCAGCAGTTGCACAGAGGAAGTGACTTATCCACAGGCACACTGGTACTCTTTGCCAGAGTTCCGTGTGAACCAGCTTGCCTGATTCCAAAGCCTGTGTTCTTTCCTATTGCATGAGGCCTAGCACATGATACTCTCGTGATTTTGTGACGCTCTGTAGCCCGAGTTTACCCTTGTACTTCTTGGGTTTACCACAGTTGAGGTTTCAGGGTAAGTTGTCTTCCCTCCCTCCCTTCCTCACTTTCTGTTAATCCATTCTTCCTTCCTTCTAGATCTCTCACCCCTCAGTTGCTGTGTCCCCACCTGACACAGGCAGCAGGAGACAGACAGATCACATAAGTCCTCTACCTTCTGAGTGCTCCCTGGAGTGAGGGCAGCCACAGATGATTAAATCAGTGTTGCTCGGGGTGTGACTTCAGAGAGGAAGTGTGGCAGAGGCGACTCAGCCCTGTGGAGACCTTGTCATCTGCACTGCACACGTACTGACACCTAGAGTGCCTCAGCCAGATGCTGCTCCAGCCATTGCCCAGAGGTCCCCGAGGCATCGCTTCACTTGGGAAAAGTGGGCTTGTGTTGATAGAGTTCGTTTTCTCACTCATAGTTTTTTGAAGGCTTGGACTTAAACCATTTCAGACAAGCTGTAGTATATTTATGCTTTTTATGTCCTGTTATGGCAGCTCGATAGATTAATTTTATCTTAGAAATTGCATTTTGCCTCCCCAGTGTTTTTAGTTTCCCTGTTGTATCTTTGTGTTCTTCTCAGTTGCTTGGCTAAGTTTCAAGCCTCTGGTTTTGTTTTTCTTTCTCTTTGCCAATGCCTGCAGCTCAGCCCTCTGCAGGAGCAGCCTACCAAGACAGCCCAGGCGAGCAGGAAGGACCTGACACCACACGCTCTGCCAGGAGAGACAAGAAAGCTGACAGTGACCAATACATGCGCTTTGAGCTTGGTCAGAATTCAATCCCAAGTGCATTGAACAGTTCCTGGGTACCAGGTACTGTTAGGGTGGGTTAGATCAAAATTATTATGAGGCTTACAACAGCCCTTTCTTGGGGCTTCATTATCATTCTCAAGTAACACAAGGGACAGGTGAGGTTTTTAAAAATGACTGACCTAGGGTCACCTAGCTGCTAAGGAGCAGAAGAGAGCATAGCAGAATGTTCATTGTATAATGGTTCAGGTTGTTTACCATGGCAAGACTTGGTACCTGCTCTCAGACAACCTCACATTCTTCGAAGCCAGGCCGGAAGTTGGTGTGGTGGCTTTACCCACAGACTTTGGGGTGTTCTAGCATTGGAGATAAAGCTGCTGTACCAGCAACAAAGTGACCCTTAGCTGAACTCTGGGGTTACGTTTTGCATGTGAAATACCCCTCTCAGGCTCACGTGTTTGAACACTTGGTCCCTAGCTGGTGGTGCTGTTTTTTGTGCTGGTGGAACGTGGTCTTAGTGATATCTTTGTACTTCTTGTTAATAACTAGTGATTAACAGAGAATTTGGGATGGTTTCCATTCCTTCTCAGTGTCTCCTTTGTCTTTCTGAATATGCCCTCCAAGTTTGCATATGCAGTCGCTGTGCTTGATGTACCCATTCCCTTGTTACCACACTGAAGCTTTATCCTGAGATCACTCCCTAACTTTCACCTTTTCTGGGCACACTTGGGGATGCGGAACCTGAGCACTTGGGTGTTGAGTTGCCTAGGGACTGCCTTGCTCAAGCTGTGTGCCATGTGATACCCTGACTTCATTTCTTTCTTCAAGAGCACCTTGGTAGTACTTGGGGAGTGGATGGAGGGGATTGACTGTATAAGTGTTATTGGCCCTATTGTTGAGCATTCAGAACTGTCTCTGCTCATGTGCCCCTGACCAGGAGACCTTGAGTTAGAGGAGGGATGTGTCAGGAGGCAGTGTTCAGGGGATGAGGCAAGCAGCCAGGCTTTGTTGGGGACTCTGCTGTTACTCACTTTCTACTTTGGATAGGATCTCCATCTCTTGAAGTTTTAACCTCCTCTCTGTAATACAGACTATCCTGTGAGGTGCTAGATACAAAGGCCAGGTCCCAGCACATCCCTGGTCTAATGTCCCTTACAGGTTCAGTTTATAATCTCCCCTTTTCCTCAGCCTTCACAGTTATCACCAAGCAGTGGAAACAGAGAATAGCAAAGCCACATTGCTGTATTGGAGCTGCCCGTGAGGTTGCTGCGTACTGGCCTTGGAGCCTGGGCATCAGAGACCTGCCTCTGCTAAATCACAAATCACTGCAGACTGTAGACTTTTGAGGGTTCTTCTAAAGTCAGAACTGTTGAGCATGAAGTGTAGGAATGTTATGCTTGTTGCATTGTTAGGAGCAGAGATTAGGAGGTCTTAGTATGATGTGAGAATGCGCACCCTCCCTGGCACCTTCCTGCTTGGCTGAACATCAGGGCTGACCCCTGAGTCTAGCTCAAAGTGATGACATTTGTGCAGGTTTTGGCATTTGTCTTTGTTTCATGCTTACTTAATGAAAACCACCATGGGTAATCTTTAGTCCTATAAGTGAACATGGCTTCAGGCGAATCTCTGTGAGTTCAAGGCCAGCCTGGTCTACATAGTGAGTTCCAGGCCAGCTGGTGGGCTACAGGGAGATCCTGTCTCAAAAAGACCAAAAA